TAAAAAGACGTCTATCCTCTCTGTTAGAGGTCTTTCTTGGCCTACCAGACCTATGCCTGTCATTGACATCATTGGTTTGAGCATGTTTGACAATCAAACGAGTGATAACACTGTGATGACGACCCATTTGTCTTGCAATGGCCCTGCATGACATGCCAGCATTTTTCATGCCTATCACTTGCCATCTTTCAGCGTTCGTTAACTTTCTCCTCACCATGGCTGATTTTCAACCTCTATTGGAAGGGGAATCTCACACAGGAGCAAAATGCAACCACGTGTCTGAAACTTGAATTTCACTATTTATAGGGATGGGGAACTGCAGCAACACGTAAAGCACGCTTTTCTTGTGGTATCAGGACAAATTTGGGTTCATGAAACTATGGAAGCCTAATTCAGTCATACATCATCATATTTCGTATTTCTGATTTCCACACGTGAAATCAAGAGACTATGAATATGGTTGCGCTTAACTTTTGTGCATGTGTATATTTATAAAAAAGATCCTTGAAAGAAGTTGAATGATAATAGGTATCCCTTGTGAGAGAAAAGTCTATACAGTCAAGCAAAATATGCTCAGATCCATTTGTGAAGATGGAGCGGTGAGAATTGTATCTAGAGCGTAACTGGACATATTCTTGTTGAAAAATTAGCTGGTTTGTATCAGAATTTTAAAATTTAGTATGCGTAAGCTCTACTGCTAGTTTGACAAATTGCCAAGGAGGCGCAGACAGTAATTGGTAGGGTGCAATAATATCAAGGTCAAAATGAGTTGCTGTTATATGCGGTTGTAATCTGATCCCCAGAGGTGGACCCAGCTTCGGTTTAGTTTGGAATAATTCCTCGTAGAGAGGAGTAAAAATGGCATCATATGCTGGATTTGACGGGTTTGATTTTAATTTTGTGATGTATTGTAGTGCAAGTTTTAAATGACGTTGTTTCTATGGAGGCTCATCATCCTCTACATACAGACTATCAACAGGCCCTGAAACCAAAACAGAGCCTCAAGCCCTGATGATGAATTGAATCTAGTTTCTGTAAGTTACTTTTACAGGCTCCACCATAAATGATGGGACCGAAGTCCAATTTTGAGCGGATCAAATATCTGTACAAATGGAGGAGGGTTGTCTGATCCCCACCCCATTTAGAGTGTGATACGACTTTCAGCAAGTCTAGGGCTTTCAGACACTTCAGACACCACCTTGGCGGTCAAATATAAGCCCCAAGAACTTCGTCTCCTCAACAACTTTCATGGGTGTGTCAGATAGAAATAGTTCTGGGGCTTTGTGCTATCTATATTTTCTGCAGAAGTGTATACAATTAGTTTTAGTTTTAGAAAATTTGAAGCCGTTAGCAAGCGACCATTTGGGGATTTTATTGAGACACAATTGCAGAAGTCTCTCAATAGTTTGCATGTTTTTCCCGCGGCAAGAAATTTTAAAATCGTCATCAAGTAACGGTCCATCAACTGAATCATTCAAAAACCTTTGAGAGACTGTTTGTCTTGATACTAAATAGTGTTACAGACAATATACTGCCTTGTGGGACACCCTGATCCTGAATATAATGGTCAGACAGGGTTGAGCCCACTCGGATTTGAAATTATCTCTCTTTTAAAAACTGTGATATGAAATGAGGCAAACGGACTCTCAAACCAAAATCATGTAAATCCTTTAGAATGCCATGCTTCCAAATAGTATCATAGGCTTTCTCAAGATCGAAAAAGACTGACACTACATGTTGTTTGTTTACAATAGCATTTTTGACTAAGGATTCTAATCGTACTAAATGGTCGATAGTACTTCGATTTTTTCGGAAACAACATTGGATATTTGTAATTAGATTATTGGTTTCCAGATACCAAATTAATCTATTATTCACCATTCGGTCCATGGTTTTACACACGCGACTGGTTAAGGATATAGGTCGATAGTTAGAGGGATCTGTATGATCCCGGCCAGGCTTTGGTATTGGGACTACAATGGCATTATGCCATGAAGGAGGAAAATTCCCTGATGTCCATATTTGATCAAATAGATCTAAAATTGTCTCCAGATATGATTCAGGTAAATGTTTTAAAAGCTGGTTATCAGCTCCCGTTGCTGTGTCATGTGCTTGCCCAAGGACAGTATGTAGCTCATGTAATGAGAAGACTTCATTATAGTCTTCACCATTATCAGAAGTGGAGAAGTGAAAATATCTTTTTCTATTGTTTCTTAATTGTTTAAAACTCCGGGACATAATTAGACATTGAAGAATGTCTTGCTAACGTTTTTCCAAGCTTATTTGCAATGTCAGTTTTATCCGTTCATAACGTGTCACCTTTCTTAAGATGGTGAACAGGTGATTTTGAACCTTTGGCTTTTATTTTTTTTTATCATATTCCACACCTTGGATATAGGCGTGCGGGAATTTATTTTGGAGACATAGTTCCTCCAAAACTGACGCTTATTTTGTTTAAAAGCACCTTATCTAAATTATGGACTGTAGGATGGCGGCGGAAATATGTTTCCGCTTTCTTCCTATATTTTCGTGCCTGTTTGCATTCGTTGTTAAACCATGGTTTACGAATATGTGGATTTGCAGAGGACTTGGGAATTGTTTCATCAGCAATTTCATTCAACATGTCCGAAAACAACTGTATCGGGTCTTGAACATGTTGAAAAATGTCAGGCGTTAATTTTTCAGTGGATAATAATTCATTTCATGACCAATCAGCCTTCGTATAATTCCACCGTGTTGTTGGTGGATGGTCAGTAGGGTTAACAGTTTTAAGGATGGTAGGGAACTGGTCACTCCCACAGAGGTCATCATGAACTGACCATTCAAATTCGTTGTAAAGGTTTGAATCTGTGATAGACAGATCCAGTGCTGAATATGTACCAGTAGCAGGATGTAAATAAGTGTTTGAATCGTCATTAAATATGCAGAGATTATTGTCAGAAATAAAGTCTTCAAGCACTTTTTCCTTACTGTTTATATTTGGACCTCCCCATAGAGCGTTATGCCCATTTTAATCGACCATGATGATACAGGGCTTTGGTAACTGATCATAGAGATTCTGAAGTTCAGCCTGCTGAAGAGTATTTGAAGGAGGAATATACAAGATGTACAAAGTAAGTGCAGTGTGCAATGTAAGTCGGACAGCTACAGCTTGAAGATTTGTATTGAGGGGATGATGCCTTGCTTGATCCAGTAGCTTTATCACCTGGAGGTGAAAACGAATGATAGAAATCAACACCATCGATCGTTTTAGTAAAAAGTTTCACAAATGTCACTGCTTGATCCTTCAACTCTGTAACAATTTCTTGTACGGACATCGGGCTGTCACGAACAGTGCCTTGACTGGAGTTTAGAGTCTTATGTGCTGAAACAGCAACCTCAACATTGGCAAACTGACTGATGGACAAGAGATTAAGAGATTGCTGCCTCTTTACACATTCAACAAGAATGAACCACAACGGAGACGAGTTACATTTTGACTTCTCCACAATGTCCGTTAACAGCTTTTGAAATAGCGAATGGATTTAAAGGTCGTTTGTCAGCAGCCTCGATCACCAGTAATCGGGCCCATGAATCGTATTTGTTGGGAATGTTCCCAGAATCATCATCTTCAAGACGTCTTTCTTTTGTCGTTGCGAATTGAACCAGGTAGTTGGGTAGACATGGTGAAAGAAAAGTGTTTCAGCATACCTGCTCCCCACCCACCATGGAGTGTCAACAAGGACAGTGTTGTAGCGAATCGGATTTCCAGCACGCAAACACCAGGGATACATGGATATTATACTCCAGCAAATATGACTTGAATAGCTATTTTTGTCAACGAGATGTCGTGCCAGGGTCGCTAAGTCCATGACCAGAAAGTGGAGACATACAGAACACAGAGGTCAACATCACCAGATTGCCCCATGAGCCACCGCCTTCTGTCATAAGACTCTAGGCAATTTATTCCATCCAAAATTGTTAATTCATACAAGTTATGCATGACCAAGATCAAAATATACATTAAGATATAACACACGTGTGCATATGCAATATTTCGCACAGGGCTTGGCATGACCAGTCGATTGATAAGACCTGGTCCATCCTACCACTCGTCTAGGCGAATTAAGGGTCGAAGTAGTGTGTTGGGCAAAGGAACACAGTTCCAGGAACCAGTGCCCTCAACTACCAGACTCCCTTCCTCCGCCGACACAGGGACGCAACCCACGGCAAACAGGCTTCCCAATTTAGTCGCCTCATACGACAAGCAATGGGGTGCTGAGGACACATTCTCCTCCCGGGTCCACACGGGGGAAGAACGATTAGCGTTACCCAGCACTCAACACGTGGAGGTTGCTCTTCAGCAGTGACTGTAACGCCAGGGATACAAAGGTTTTATGTTCCAGTATATAATAAAGTCTTGAAAAATTGAGTGAGTAAGTGAGTGAATATGTTTTTACGCCACTTTTAGCAATATTCCAACAATATCACGGCGGGGACACCAGAAATGGGCTTCACACAGTGTACCCATGTGTGGAATCGAACCCGTCTCTTCATCGTGATGAGCAAATGCTTTAAGCACTGGGCTACCCGACCGCCCTCGAAAAGTTATCTAGGCAAAATGTATGTATATAATTATTTTGATCATAATGCTCTGTGTCAAAATATTATGTATTGTGGTTTTCTTCTTCTCAAGAATTCATGTTTAACATCCTAAGGCCTGTCTGGGTGGATTAAAGGTTATGTGTGTTTAAACGAAACACCGTTCCTGGCTCATAATCAACCACTAAAACGCCTTCCTCCACCGACACAGGGGCACAACTTATGACAGATATTACCCCAGGTACCCACAGGGTACATAAAAGCAGAACACTTCTAATGAATATTTGACTCAACAGTTTGGTAACTCTTGAAATAGTTACTGCCTTCTAACAGCCTACAATTCAGAGTTGTTGAGATTTTCAAATATCCGTGGAATTATTTCTGCCTCAAGACATGCCGTACTTTTTGCACCTTTACAGATGCGTCTGCTGTACACGTGGTGTGCTCTGGCCTGCGTGCTACTGTTGACAGGGGATGCAACTGCCTGGTGGAGAAGACGTAGACGCACCCGGACCCGTACCTGGCAAAACTGTGATCGCAACAAATACGTCAATGGCTGTTCCGTGCCCTACAAGTGGATACCCTTCAAGAATACATTCAGAACTGCTTGTAACAGACACGATGTTTGCTATTCCTGTGTAAGTATTCTAGATATATTTTATGATTTGCAGTTGCAATTACACATTTCCAGAAGTTGAGTGCAGGATGCTTAAACATTATGCTTAGTCAGAACTAAGAACTATGCTTATAGAACCTAAGTCCAACTCGTTGCCATGGAAACGTAACAAAATAAAATTTCTAAAATTCCTAAATAGCAAAAGGCACAACTTCAGTATGTGACTGATAGATTTGCCAAGTTTCGATTAAATACACTGAATTGTTTTCGAGTTCTGCCCCGGAAAAGGAAATGCTTACGGACGGACAGACAGACTAGCTGATCGCTATATCCCCCCGCATTTAGTACTGTTCTCGCCTTTTAGATTCATCCTACTGACATCTGATATGGTAAGACATATTCACATGCGATTTACCAAGGACCCGTGAAGATCCGGGGTAGAATAGGTCTTCAGCAACCCATGCTTGCCGTAAAAGGCGACGATGCTCGTCTTAGGAGGCGACTAACGGGATCGGGTGGTCAGGCTCGCTAGGCTCGCTAACTTGGTTGATGCATGTCATCGTATCCCAATTGCGTGGATCGATGCACATGATGTACTGGATGTCTGGTCCAGACACGATTATTTACAGACCGCCGTCATATAGCTGGAATATTGCTGAATGCGGCGATAAACAACAAACAAATAAACCAAGGACCAAAGGCATGTGCAGGTAACAATGCCTCAAGTCAGGAGGATAAAATAAGCATGTCCCTGATAAGTTCAACACAATGTCACTCTACACTGTTGTTACTGTTTTTACAGGCTGCTGCTTATGGAATATCAAAAGCATCATGTGATCGGAGGTTTCTGCTAAGTATGAACAAGATTTGTACGAAGAAATTCTGGCTTCCATATTGCAGAACGGCGTCGTTAGCTTATTATTCGGCAGTAGCTATAAAAGGAAGACGATACTTCAGTAAATCAGCTTTATCTGGCTGTCGTGATCCATGGGTGAGACAGTGTCTGTAAATGTGATGTCACTTCACGCCATGCATTCAATAAAATGATATTGATATCAATAATGTAGGTTGTTCTTCTTTCTATAGTGTAATATGGTGCTATGTTTTCATTAAAAGAAAATTCATTCAAATGTGACACATACAATACGTAGAAGGGACTGTGACCTTGACGTCATTTACACGAACGGGGAGATATTCTTCCAGTATTTACAACCGCCGTCATAAAGCTGGAATATTGCTGAGTGCGGCGTTAAACAACATATAAACAAAACAGTATTTACAAGTTGCAGTTCGCGCACGCACACACTCACAAAATTCAATCATTTGAGAACTTAAGTAGTACTTAACCATTGGATCATGCGACGTATTCATAGTTATCGAAGTGTTTTTTTGGATTTACATATGCCTTATTAGCATTTATTCAAGAAATAATGTCTACTTACTCAGTTTGGGCGAACTCTATCAACGTCTTCTGGAAACCAGTCTAATACTAGTTTTAGTTATGGTCATCTGGACTGTAGATTCGCTACAACCGTTGGTTTTGACTAAACATGGCATGTGTTGACCTTTGACATCCTTTCTGAATAGAAATACATCTGAAAACCAACCATATATATTTGTAAACATACTGACTTTTGACATCATCTTTGTTAACTGACTTTACTGGCTATCGAATTTAAACCGTCATCAATATTTAAACGTAGTTTTATTCTAAACAAGGGTTTAGCTTATTGGGTATAAGAGAATTGTCCATAACTGATTAAACGTCCAACTTCAATGTACTAACCGGTAGAATTACATGCATAGTCAATGGTACAAATGTACTTGTGATGATCCGGGTTGAATAGGTCTTCAGCAACCCAGGCTTGCCTTAAAAGGCGACTATGCTTGTCGTTAAAGGCGACTAACGGGATCAGGCTCGCTGACTTGGTTTGATGCATGGCATCGTATCCCAATTACGTGGATCGATGCTCATGATATTAATCACAGGATTGTCTGGTCCAGATTCGATTATTCACACTCCGCCATCATACAGCTGGAATAATGCTGAGTGCGGCGTTAAACAACAAACAAACAACAACTTCTTCTCCATTGCCAGTCTTATGATTAAAACCTTAATTAATGAGTATATTCGTATTCGGATATATATGTCAAAAGAGTCATATTGCATTTTCGCCATGAACATAAATTTTGCTGAAATTAATATTATTGTGCAACAACAGTTATGGATGCCTGGTATATTTGGGAAAACACTTTCTGAGTAAAGTACAGATTCTCGTCCTTTTTTGTGTTGAGTCACGTCGGGGATTCGAACGAGAATCTGTTCTTTACTCAGAAAGTGTTTTCCCAAATATAGCATTTTATATGACTGCAGTCTGTTAATAATCGAATCTGGACCAGACAGTCCAGTGATTGACATCATGAGCAACAAACTGCGCAACTAGGATACGATGACATGCATCAACCAAGTCAGCGAGCCTGGCCATCCTGTCCCTTTAGTCGGCTCTTACGACAAGTATGAGTTGCTGAGAACCAATTCTAAACCGGAATCTTCATGGGACCCCAATTATGAGGGAAGTCGGGAACTGGATATCCCCGAACCTCGTCGGATCAGATCTAATTTATTGGCCAGGTGTTCCATATTCTTCTCGCGGTACAAAAGTTTCAGACTGTCACACCTAAATAAAGATATCTTACCAGACAGGGATGTCGTGTTTCTTTATTGAACATCGTTTATCTGAGTATAGGTTTGTATAAAATACAAAGGGTCCTCGTGGTGTACCATTCAGTGTCGTCGGAGTGACTCGTCTCTTGGGAGCCTGACTCAAAACCTCGGACATCAAGCCATTATGGATGTGACAGGATGACCTTGTTCAGGGTACAATTGTAAGAATAGGTGGGCCTATGATTTTTAATGCATGTTAACTATATTACCACCCAATGATACGATTAACTTTTAAGATTTTGTAAATTTCCTTATATTATTGCAAAATGTGGCCACGCTCCACACTGTCTGTCATCATCGCTGGTTGCTTCCTGCTATAAAAACCAGCTTCTTTGTCCTCTTTCTTGAGGTTATTTGAATACTTACGCTTTTGATATATGATTTGCACAATGGAAATTATTGCACGCCACGCTCCACACTGTCTGTCAATGGTGTAAGGGAGGTAACTCTCACTAGAGTTAGTCGTATGTGCGTTTGTTTCTTTGTTTGATTGATTGATTAACGCCATAATAATATTCCAGCCATATAACGGCGTAATTATAATATACTGAACAACAAAAGTTCCTGTGGCATTGAATAAGATGTAATGCAAAGTTATGTTTTTTACCAAATCTGAAACAATTTCGGTTTGCAACAGATAAAAGACTCCTGTAAGTTTTCAAAGGGTTTAATTTGCCATACTGACTTCAGAAAATGCCTGATTTCATTAAAAAAAACATGAAGATGCAAAAATGTCAATTTACAAATCAATAGCGTGTGTGTCCTCCTCTGATTGCGATGCAAGCAACACATCTTCGTCTCATGGAATGGACCAGGCGTCGCACAAAGTCCTGCGGGATATCTGTCCATATCAGCTGGAGCATGTTTCGAAGTTCCTAGAGTGTCTGTGGAACACGTGGTTGACGTCGAAGGCGCCGATCAATCTCATCCCACATGTGCTCGATTGGTGTGAGATCAGGGGAGTGAGCCGGCCAGGGGATGACATTCACGTTGTTTTGTTGAAGAGAATCCTGAACAAGTCCAGCAATATGAGGTCGGGCGTTGTCATGTTGAAAAGTAATGCCTGGGCCATGACGACGGTAAAACGGTACAACAATAAGGCCGATGATCTCGTCTCGATTTCCCTCTACCACTATCAAACGGGTCCTCTGTCTTGCTGTTATCTCACCCCATACCATAACGCTGCCGCCCCTGAACCGATCTTCTTCCATGACACAATGATTGACGTAACGTTCACCTCGACGTCGGTACACTCGAATCCCTCCATCGCTCTGGCTGAGGTGAAAACGAGACTCGCCAGTGAATAGAACTTTTCACCACTGCATGGCCGTCCAGCGTAGACGCTGTCTGCACCACTGTAGACGTGTTTGACAGTGGTTTCCTGTCAAAATTGGACGTCTGGCGGGTATTCTGGCGACAATCCCTGCACATCTGAGGCGGCGACGTACGGTTTGTGAAGATATTCGTTGAAGGCCAGGGATGCTTCTTGCAGTCACTGTTGCTGGCTGGAATCGATTTCGTAGGTGTGTTGTTCGAATCCAATCGTCTTGACGATTATTGGTTACACGTGGCCTGCCACTCCGAGGCTGGTCTCTGACTGCATTCGTCTGTTGCCAACGTTGCCATAAACACCAAATGTTTTCTGTGGACGTTAAATTGTCTTGCAACATCACATTGACTTGATCCTGCTTCAAGCATACCAATGGCTCGCAGACGCTCGTTTTAGGACAGGCGTGGCATTTCGTAATGTTGAATGATTGCGTAATTTTGTTGTTTTTCTGAGTGGTTGTTGTCAGCACGATGCTAAACAATGCAAATGGAATCCCGTTAACGCACATGTTTTTATACCCGTTCTTGGGTAGTGAAGTGCATGGGGCTTGCATAAAAGTCAACTTTTGCATGTAATGCATGCTTTTCTGTAGCAGTTGCGTTTTTGTGACTTGATTCCATACATGCACTACAATATTGAAAACCAAACTTAACTTGTTTGAAAAATACACTAAAATATTGGTGTCACGGGAACTTTTGTTGTTGAGTATATAATTAGTTGGGTGTATGAAAGTCTTAACTATTGTAGATAGAACACGTTTTCTCCCTTAGAAACTGTTTTTGCTCTGTTTTTCCTCCTTTAGTCAGGTCCAAGCAAAAATACTTACTTCATTCATGTTTATAATTGTATAATTAAGAGTATAAAGTAAATATCATTTACCTTCAATGTCTTGAATAATCACTGGTTAGGTGATGGTTAGGTGGGTAGATGAGCAGGTGATTCAGTACACTAGATACTACCCAATGTCGGTTTAAGATAGGAAATGTAGTCATGAAAATGTAGTACAGTAAAGTACGGTTATAACGAACTCAAAGGGACTACTAATTTTAGTTCGTTATAACCGTAGTTCGTTATAAGCATATACACAGCATAACTACAGCAAGTAGTCGGGACCAAAAAGTAAGTTCGTTATATCCGTCAGTTCGTTATAACCGTGTTCGTTATAACCGTAGTTTACTGAATATCTAATGTGAAAGATGTTTGTCTCGTTCGAGTTTCAAATGCAGCAGTTATCTGCCAGTATTAAACTAAATTTAAGACAATTTAACTAAATTAGACAACTTTTAGTGTAAGGTCTCATGCCGGGAAAATTTAGCAGCTGTATATGAACTTGTAGGGCTTGGTTCATATCTAGTAGGCTTTTAGTGTAGAAGTGTAGTGCAAGAAGCCTTAATTACGACTGCTGTATACAAGTGCAGAGATTCTCCTGCATTTAACGACAGACAAATATTTAAGATATATGTTCGTTTTGCAACACAGTATCAGAATATAGGTTAAATAGGAGAAAAAGCTGGAAACACAGTATGGCTGGTTATTCCCAAAGTATAAAATAGTGATGAAACTTGAGTTTGGGAAGAGGTGAGAGTACGTATGTTTTCTCATTTGACTAGAAAAATTAAATTGAAGGTCTTTGCTGGTGCTGTTTAAGCTCTGAAACCGATTATTGTCTATATTCCTATGAAGATCCGGGTAGAATAGGTCTTCAGCAACCCATGCTTGCCGTAAAAGGCGACTATGCTTGTCGTGAGAGGCGATTAACCGGATCGGGTGGTCAGGCTTGCTGACTTGGTTGATGCATGTCATCGTATCCCAATTGCGTTTTTCGATGCTCATAATGTCAAACACTGGATTGTCGCGTCCAGACTCGATTATTCACAGACCGCCTTCGAATGGCTGCAATATTGCTATGATGGCGTTAAACAATCAAATAAACAAACAAACGCATATACGACTAACTCTAGTGAGAGTTACCTCCCTTACACCATTGACAGACAGTGTGGAGCG